GTAATAACAGCTACTAATAGCAGATAACTTCAGCATTCGTTGAAAGCTAGCTGGCCACCAAAAGTAAAATGTGTAAAAAGCTCAATATGGCCTCTCTAGCCAATAAAAGAGTGTATGGAAGTCCATGTTTTCTCTTTTTTACGTTACACTAGTAGAAAAAAATATGATAGAAACATTTATACAGCATGTGTCTCTTCCAATAAATTGGAAAAAGAAAATCCCGATCCCGTTCAGCAGCTTAAATTTCGATCCCGAACCGTTCGTAAGCTTGACCCCAATCCCGTCCCGTAAGCTTGATCCCGATCCCGATCTCACAGGGCTCTAACATGTGCACTTTTCTTTTAAAAGTGGTGAAAAAAGTTATTATATACGGAAGACCACATGAATGAGCTAAACATGAATACGCAATCCATTTTCGCTGAGGATCTAACGCCTACGAAAGAATTCATAGTCAAATTTATTTAATTTTAGTAAGTAAACGTAGCATTTCTAATGAGGGAACATTTCCAAGTGTCATCTCCGTTGACACTGCTTATCCGTTACCGTTACCAAGAACGTCAACTGTTCAGCAGTTATAGTTACTGTAACGCTAATGGTAACTGTCACAGCCCTAGTCAGAGATCTGCGCCGAAAGTGAAGAAAATTTGTAGAGCTTTTTGCCATCGCCGATATTCAAAAATTAATTCGCTGCCACCGCTGAAAATTTCTGTCGACATACACGTTTGCTTGCAGTTTTTTCATAAAGTATCCTTGAAAGTTCATAGAGGAATCATTCAAACTCAAAGCTGCCGTTTGTCAGTGATTAGTATTAAATAAATTTCACATTTAGAGCGCTTCAACAACTCTCAGACTATTGACATATACCAATTTTCACAAATTTGTTTTTCATAACATTTATTATTATATGTTTATTTGTCAAATTTTCATAGTTTTCAATAAATAAAAGCTTTTTATTTCTAGAAAAAGTCTATGAAGAAAGAACCTACAAATATTTATTTAATGATATTTAGCCGACTTGTACAATGTGAAAAGTATAATTGATTGCATAGAAATAAAGTTTCGAAAAGAAAATACAGAAAAAGTTTATACATTTTGATCTTCGAAATGCTATTTTTACTTATTGAAATTAAATAAATTTGACTATGAATTCTTTCGTAGGCGTTAGATCCTCAGCGAAAATGGATTGCGTATTCATGTTTAGCTCATTCATGTGGACTTCTGTATATAATAACTTTTTTCACCACTTTTAAAAGAAAAGCGCACATGTCTTTTGCATTTTTCTCTCAGCAGAGCTGAATATTTTTTGATGCTTTATATAAAATACAAAAAATCAAAAAAAACTGTGAACTGTTAGTTTATTGTAAGATTGTATCTGATGGGGATACTGTTGTTATAATATATGTTACTCTGTCGTTATTCTCTTAAATTTAGTAGAAATTGACTCCGTATACAAAATATGTGGACAGTTTTACGATACTCATAAACTGAGATTGACGCTAGAAATCGCATCCACGCTGTGCTGTTGACCGACGTTATTCACCTAGAGCTAAATTGTGGCCACTACTTGCGCCACCGTGATGTATCACTTGTAAAATATTGGTCGCCAAAAAATAGGGCGATAGGCAAACAAGGTTCTTGCGCGCTGATTGATGGGATGCGTACCTAAGCTAAGAATGGGTAAGTGAATAGATTTTTTAGATTTTTATGTGATATACATATATTAGCTTTGAACTTAAATTCAAACAGAAATGATACTGCTCTAAATGACACCTTGAAAACAACTTTTCGACATTTTGACAATCTAAACTGGCTCGACTCGAAGGATAATAAAAAAAGATTAAAGAAAAAAAATGAAAACAAATAGTTGATTACATAAAACACAGTCGGTGATTTATTTAAATTTCAAATTTTTATTCTCTCCCATTCACTTTCGTCCTTAAAAAAAGTTCTTGAGTACTTAGTTGATTTTTATTACAAGGAATATTGATTTTTTCGTGCAATTTAGTTTGCTACATAGAAAGTTGACTCACTAGGTACAAAGAACTGTTTAGTATTACCAAAATTTTTCTAGCGAAGCATATTATCTTTGTATAATGAAATATTTATTTATTAATAATAAGCATTCGGATATATGAATAGGTCAATTGTTAAAATAACGGTATATCTTTAAGAATTCTTTTCATTTTTAGTACTCAGAACTAATCATTTTTATAATAATAATAAATACTCGAAAAATATTTATTTTCTTACAATTGTATAACAATTTTTTATGAAGTTGTTTTTACGAATAAATATCACTTTTTATTAAAATTTTTTATTTTTATTATTATTCATCGTTCAATGCTCTACAAAAATCCACGAATGAAATCGTTACAATATACTAAAGTAAAAAACTATAGGAATAATACTGTGGTGTTCTGACTTGGTCAACTTTCACTAGTGTTTATTTTATAAAGTTTGAATCTTTTTCCACGTGTTTTGAATGAATTAAAATAAGTTTTTCTTTACTTAAAAGAGTGCTCTTTCTAGTCATGTATAGTAAAATGAGTTAAAATACAATAATTTATAATGAAGGTTTACTTTCTTAAAGTTGGTTCAGAACATCTAAATCTCGAACTTTTTTCACTCGTCAAAATGGTAGAAAGAATTATTTTTAAACTTCTGGATGTTTGATGTCATGCAATAAATATCTTAAAATAAAAAAAAACTCTGAGCTTAAAACATTGGCTTTTGAGAAAATCATATGGGTTTTACTAGACAACGTTAAGGTACAGAACGAGAACGATGATTTTTCAAAAATGTGAAGAATAAAAATGTTTTTTATGCCACTCAAGTTGCTGATAAAAGCTCTTAGCTACAGGTAAAAGGTAGAGTTTATCAATGGCTGATAAAGTCAAATACACTTTTATTTCTATTTAGAATCTGAACATGTCGAAGCCTCGCAATATTACTCCTATAGTTTTTTACTTTGGTATTTTGTAACAGTAACAGTTTCATCCATGAATTTTTGCAGAGCATTCAACGACGAATAATAATAAAAATAAAGAAATACTATAAAAATTGTATTAATTCGTATTAATTAAGTTGCGAGAAAATAAATATTTTTCGAGTATTTAATATTGTAAAAATGATTACTATCGGCGCTAAAATACAGTGTATGTTTCCAGTTTTTTTAATAACACAATAACAGTGTTGCTCTATATGTTTTTTTTGTTTGAAAATAGTAAAAACATTCTTGTATTTCGGAAGATTTCTAGAAAACCTATTCAAAACCCATAGTATTTTCTGTTGATTTTTAAAGCTTTTTATTGAACTGTATAGTATTGAGCAGGTAAAATAGAGTACATGTTGATATTCTAACATAATTTGGATGAATCTTGACTGTTATGAATCTTTTAATTTTACTCAAAAATAGGCAAAAATGGGTTATTTCATATAATATAGGTTACTATATTATATGAAATAAGGTCACTAAGTTTTTAAAACTATTTTGAAAAACAAACATTGCCACGAGATTCAACATGGTGGATTACCTATGTTTGCATTCGTTGTCGGAATTATCACATCTAATGAAATAGTGATTCTGGGACTCTCAGGCAATCCGCTGCCATGCCTAAACCACAAAAAACTAAGAGTTCGCTTAATTTCTGTTTTGGAGAGGACACTTTGGACTATCTGTCTATGAAAAAGGATCGACCTATTTCTATGTCAGTTTTCAGAGATCCAAACTGAGTTCCCAAAGATCTGCTCAAAAACTGATTTCAGAGTTTTTTTAAAAAATCGTCACTTGTGGAAAACTAGCATCAGACGTCTGTTTTTGATTGCTATAAACCGCAACGTTCTATCTTACGCTGTTATTGAGTTATTAAAAAAATGGCAACCTGCTGTATTTCGCCGCCGATCGTAGTTCTGAATAAAAACAAAAAAAATTATTAAGAAAAAGTATTGAAATTGCTATTCTCTCTGGTTCATGAAATAGTTCATTTTCTCTCGAATGGGAACGATGGCAGCCTTCCTGTTCATATGAGCGTTAATGCATGAACTCCTTAATCTGTTCCGCTTTATATTCTTACTTGTTATGTTCCTAATGACCTATATCTACAATATAGCAGAACAAAGAAGATCGTATAATAATTTTTTTCCCACTGTATGTTTGTTAAAAATATATCCATGAATTGTTATTCAAATAAATAATAAAAATAATAAATAATTTCCTCGATGTGTTAAAGAGTTAATTATTTTTTCATTGAAAGACCAAAGTTTGAACATAAAAAACAAAATGTTTTGTAGTTAGATTTGAGTGAGAAAAAATTTAAATACTGAACGTCACCAAAAAGATCTTATGACATACTTTTTTCTTTACTTTTTAATACAGCCTGAAATGAAAAGCTTCTTTGAAAGCCAAATAGATGAGAATGTAGCCGATGCAAAACTCTCGATATCTCTGCTTTCAAAAATCTTGCAGTAAATCCGTAATAATAAAGAAAATATATATAAAACTTAATTTTGGTAAAAATCACTATATTGCATCAGAAAGATGAGAATATCGAGAAAATTTATTTATTCAAGGCTTAAACGATATAAAACTAATGTGAGTTTGTAGAAAATTGAATGCTCTTTCAGAAAATGTGTTTTAACAAAGTTCGATCAGTATCTGAAAGTCATTAATTAAGCCTATTTAACAGTGTTTCTGAAACTGTCAAAATTTTTTATTAATTTCTGATTGAAAACATAACGTTAACATTATTGTTTCAATATGACTTTATGATAGAATTGGAAACTACGAAAGATATTATGAAGTAAGAATGTGTAACAAGAGTCTTTTTTCTGAATGACTGACTAGTCTGTCTTTTATGAAAAATTTTCAGATTAATTAACAAACAAATATATTTCTATTGCAGCCAATGGATTTCTATAAATTACCTATAGAAATTGTTAAATGTATTCAGGCGGAATCTCTCCCAACAAACAGTATCATATTTTGCCATCGAGGCACATGGATGTACAGATTGCAAGACGACAAACCAAATGAGTTGATCAATTCAGCTGTTCTCAAATCAGTATCTCAAGTTGAACAATCGTCGTCGTTTAATTCTCAAACTCCTGCTCGTCGAATAGAGGTCTTAGGTCCATTTGGTAAATTTTCAGTTATATTATGTTTATTCATTAATAGTCTTATAATAGTTTTTTCTTTTTTAGGTACAGAAACAGCAAATATGCATATTGATTTAGAACAAAATAAAGCTACATATCACGCTGAATTTACTGGCAAATTAAGTGTATTAAATCAATATAGAGAAATCGATTGTACCGGACTACATACACCAATAACTGAAATAACTCTAAATGGGGCAGCAAAAGATACGGCTCGTATTCCAGAGGATGCCACACATTTTTGTTGGATTTATCCTCCGAGAGGCTTCACTAACCTTTCAACAGCAGCCAAAAAACTTATTGACACTGAAGTAATAAATCGTGATCCAGAATTTACATTTCTGGCAATTGGTGGATTCGTCTACTTTAAATATGAAAATCATGAATATCATATTTTGAGAACAAATGCACTAGTTCAAGATATCAATGGTTTAGTATTTAAGGGTCCTTTTCCATGGAAGCCTAAATACACCGAAAATTTATGGAAACAAGATCGATTTCAAGTATGTAAATAATTTTGTTTAAACTTGTTGTAAACTTTTCAAACATAAATGTTTTTATATTCAGAATATTACCATGTACTCGTTATTAAAGTTGGGAATAAAATATTATACTTTTATAAATCCAAATGAAGTACTGGAAGCTTCAAATGTTCCTGTATGGACTCCGAGTGAGAATGGAGCGTTTGTTTATCTCTACAATGAAAATGGCCAGCCACATGAGTTTGATTGTTACTTTTCCGTGGACGATTACTGTCATGGTGTGGAAGATGGAATTTTGTCTAGTGCATGTGTAAGATAGCAAATTGTGACAGTAAAAATTATGTAAAAATAAGACGTGTGGAATAATGGAACTGCCGATGATGATTACAGAAGTGAACACTATTTTTCTTTGTATATTTGTCTCTTCTTGTGTTATATACCTAAATGAAAAAAAAGAAGAATATTTTTTATTTATTAGACGTTGTTTTATTAATAAAGTCGTGGGATATAATGAAGAAAATGAAAGTGTGGTGTAAAATGAAAATTTGTCTTTAGAGAATTCGGACGGTTAAGCATATAATGACGAGTTTGATGAAAAACAGGTTCATTAATGTACTACTGCTGCAAAAATTTTCCGTACGAACCAAACTTTTTTTTGTTTTAACCATAACTCAGCAGTGGAGTGGTCTTCCAGCAAACGGTTTTCATCAAAATGTTGCCCATTCGTCCGAGTATATTCGTCGAAAAAAAAAATTTAAAATATTGTTTATCCTTATCTGTAGGTCGATATCAATGTTCGAGTACCTTCTCTTCGGGTACCGAAGAGCTGCAAAAATTTTCTGTCCGACTAATGTAATTGATTTTTTGATCCGTCAAGGAAATTAAAAGCTATGAAAACTATACCAGCGGAAAGCGGAGAAGATAGCGAATATTTTGGTTTAAAAGATTTTTGAAAAAAGCTTTCTCGGAACCGACAGATCGGTTTTAAGGTAAAGTTGACATGATCAACATGTAAACTGTGTAACTCGGTAATGAATGGATGAAATCTTTTTAGACATACCAATGGAAAAAGCATCAGAAACTGCGTAAGAAAACGGCTGATTTAAAATTTTACGAAAGAAAGTAGACACATTTTTTTCGTCTGTTTGTCACGTGTCTCATTCAGAGCATCTTCATTTTTGCAGCTTTTTTACTTTTTATCATTTTCTTTGACTTATTTATGTTTTAGAACCTCCATTAAGCGAGCTTTAAAAGTACGGATCGCCTTTTTCTTTTATTTTGCTTTATCGCTAAGAGAGTACATTTTTTCATCAAGAATCAAGATGAAATCAAGAGCGAAAAAAATCAGAATTCTGTCTGTAATTCTCTATTTTCTCAACTAGAACTCATTTTTTATGCAATAAAAATATCATATTCGGTGTCAGCGCCGAAAACTGAGTCGAATGATGTACTTTTTTTTTATCCTAACCGATTACTTTTGTTTTTTTCTCAAGTCACTGAGATTTTCACCAAAAAAGGAAAATCGACGAAAAATTTCGAAATACATATCATTCGACTCCTTTTTTGCAGCAGTAGTAAATCGATGAAAACGATTGGCGTAAGATTTAAATACAAGTTCTATGAATATCTATGACAGTGAAGGTTAAAGTATGGCCATCAGTCGATCTTTTTAAGAAAATCTCGATTCTATGATTTACAGACGGATGGAAAAGGTTACAGACTCATAACCTTTTCCTTTGATATAGCACACTGAATGAACAACGCTGAACGATTAGAAAACAACAGATATAGCGTTCATAATTGTAGTGCATAACTTACATTACTTTCGAATTTTTATTTTTTATGCTCCATAACCGATATTAGGAGAGCTGTTGGTACATCTTTCGCTATCAATCGGTACGTCATACTTTATCGGCCCATTGCATGTTCAAAATGTCTGAGTAAATTTCAAATTGTCAAGAAAAATGTTTTCTATACAAAATGAACATAAAATTTATATTCAATATTCAAAGCTTTCTTTAGAGAGTTAGATAGATTTAATCGGTAACAAAATCTATGACACATGTACCAAACACTTCTGGACGTGTAAGTTTTGCGCTACGCTTCAGATAAGCATTTGATAATAAATGTTTAATCGACTGATAGAAGCGATATTTTTTACCATACTCTAAACAAACATGCGTTTTAAAATAATATCGATAAGTAAGCTGACGATTAGCCCTATAAACGATTTTAAAATAAGACGATTGACAATAAGACCAATCAGGTGTTATTTATTTTTTAAAAAACCAATTTGCTATTCTAATCATAACTCTACTTACTTATGAATCTAAGACCCATTTTAATTTATTCGTCTTATTTTTTTATAATTAGTTAAATTTCAAAAATGTTTCTATCAAATAGTACGCGCCATCAGAGTATACATTTCAGCGTAGTGTAGCTGATGTCAACATTCTATAAGAGAAAGATGAAAAGTTCTGTATATATCTCGATTAAATTTACTTTTCTTAATATATGAATAGTGTAGTATATGCCTAATAAAGATCTGAATGATTTCTCGTACTTTAGTTGACGAAAATAAGACCTTTTTCTTCGGTTTTAGAAAGATTTTTATTATTATTTAATTTATTCGTTCTTGATTAAGCAGGAAGCAAAAATGAAATTTTTTCTTGATAACAGCTATTTTAAGAATTCAAATAATAGGGAACTTTGTGAGTTGGTGTATATCGGTATATATTTAGTTTTATTATTAAATTTACACACACGTTAATCATATCATCGTATAATAATATCTTAATAAGTGAAAATTTTAGTTTATATTATCTAACAGAAAATAGTCGTCAACTGTTAGTCAATCTTCCTCACGTATATTAGATATTGGGCATGTCATAAAACAACTGTATGTCATTGTATCAATATTCGTTTTATCCTATAATTTCATTTAGTAACGTGTCTTCTTTTTAGTTATAGAAGTTTTATCATTTGTTTCCTTAAAAAATAAGAAAAAGTTCTTTTGTTAGCTAAGTACTCTGCTCATTTCTTTCTCTCGACAATAATTGTTCAAGGTTAAAACATGCATCAGACAATGATTTATATCCATTATATTTAGTGTACAGCAGTCGTATTAGCAACAATATAAATATCATATCTTATTGATGATTTTTTGTTAGACGAAAAAACAACTTATATATTCTTTTACAACTGACAAATGTCATATATTTTTATAAACAGTCGAAATAGTAAGAAAATCTTATCAGAACAGACGCTAAAGTTATGAAACTTTTTACTCAAAAATTTGAGTGTTCTAAGTAGAATCTATCTATATCTTTATTCTGAACTAAATATTTGATATATAACTGTATATGCTTCTTCTTAAGTGGTCATTAAAGTCTTATTTTATAAACTTTAAGAGATCATCAGTCATAATGTTTGTCTATGCAAGGAGGGAGGAGTTGGAAAATAATGTGAAAAGTCGGTTAAAAATAATGGTTTCTAGGTATAAATTTAACCTCCCCCCTTCCTTTCAGATAGCTGAGAGGCGTTTCACAATAGTTCAAAACAACATAAAGTAAGTGAAATACTCTATAATTATTATTTTAAGATCAAAGACAGTTTAGGTTTCAGTTTATTCCTCAAAACATAAATCACTGTTGTTGATGAGATTTACGTTAGATACAGTCAGAAAGAAATTTTATTTTTCATGAAAAAAGAACTAAATTCAGTTTGATCCGTATAATTGTTTTGTAAGTACATTTTCTGCGCGACTAAATCTCTGTGAAGTTAATTGACATATTCAGAACTAATCAAAAAATATATCTCAATTTATATTACTGTTGAACGGATACTGTTACGCATTTTCGCATTTTTTGTCCTAAACACCTGGGCAAAAATGATTTAATAGATTAATAAAAGAGATGTAAGTAAAAGACTATATACGACAGGAATACTACAGGAAAAACAATAACAACTTGATTAAAAGCCCATTCTTGACAGTTCTGGGCGTCTATTTATCCTTTTTGTTTATTGTGCGTGTACGATAAGTAAGGAACTAATTTGTAGGCCTATTATCATAATATAACATAAGAATGACACATCGTATAAAACTGAAACGTTTTCAACAGAAGTTTAGAAATATAAGAATGTCCTACTGCTGAAGATCATAGTTCTCCAAAGGAGAGTACTTTTGGACATTAGTGCTCTCAGGTATACATGACCTATGAGTTGCAAACATTCCATCTAATTAATTCTTTAATTTTAGTCGAGATAAGCAGTCGTCTTCAATCGCTTCACAGGAAAAGTCGTGTAGAAAATAAATACTAAGAAGATCATAGTTTTGATCTATATTTTTTCTAAATGACTTTTTTAGTTTGACAGATAGTGCCTGGTAGATATCACAAAATGACATAAAATGCAAAAAGACCATTTTTCCTCCATGGTCTACTGTTATAAAAATACAATGAAATCTCAGCTACGACCTTGATTTGGCGTTAGAAAAAATTTATTCAATGACTGTTGGTGCCTTTTTCTACTTGTAAACTTTGTATTAGATCGAATTCATATAATGATAATAATTGGTTTCATTATTATTAAAACGTTTCAAACCAGATAAAAACCTTTTCATCGAACAATTATAGAACATGCGCTTGTTACATTCATTTCATTTTTTAAAAGATCTACTTCGTCTTGAATAATTCTGATCATTTGCCTATATATCAATTGAGTACCAGCCCTCAAATTAACCTTCGAAAACTTCGGTCAAATTTTCATTTATAAAGTACATTAACGAACACTATCATTTTACTCTTCCTGTAATAGTTAATAGGTTGCAATTTTTGATGATTGTATGTAGAAACTATTATTCATCTCTGTAAATACCGATTCTAATGAGCTGAAAACTTTAGGGTATATATAATTTGAGTTGCTCTTCATAATAACAGAGTGAAAAATGCAAATAAATCATTTCTATACGCTGGATATATGCTTACATTTGCCTCTTATTCGATCTCTGAAAAATCTTTTTGGTATCACTCAAGGAAAAATAAATAAGCTAGAGAATCTAGCTGGAAACGGACGTTGGGCCCATTTAGTAATCAGACACCTTATTATTCAATTAATCGACAATAGTCATTTACACTCAATTGAAGCTAGATTCTAAGCTATATAAATATATCATTAATCTAGATGCAAGCGCTTGCCTTACGATTTTTTTCGTGTATGAATTGAACTTAATTTGTGTATTTTGTCTGTTTTCTGTTACTGCTGTGATCATATCCTGAAGTTTCGAGCTATTTGAATCGGCTTTGAATAATTTATCAATTTTTCCATTATTCATTCATTCAACAAAATTAGTCTAAAACAACATATTTTCCAAAAAATAAGTTTTTACTAGATTTTTTAACCTTTTTCGAAAAACAAACATTATCATGAGAATCAGCGTGGTCAATAACCCATATTTACAATTCTCACATATGCTTTGTGATATACATCAATATTTTCTCTTTTTTTTTAGCAGCTCATTCACATTTAGTAATCTTTATTTGTGGAAATTAAGAAAAAAATGTATTCCTACATGAGAACGCGAGTAAAGTACCACTTTTATTAGTGAGATTTAAGTGTTTCATTCAAACGCTATCACCTTTCCTTTTTATTAAGATTTGTTCATGTCTATGGTATAAATTTATATTATTAGTTTTTAATGTTTACTCAAATAACAAATAAATGTATTATTACTTGTCAGGAATAATGGATTAAAAAATGTGAATAAACTAGAGAAAAAGAGAAAATTTAGACATATATCACAAAGTTATTTGGAAACTAAGAAATAAGAAGAACACAGAAAAATGTAAGCTTTACTTTTACCTACTTATTACTTTGCTTCGTAAAAGATAGAGAAAATGGCATCCCTGCTCACGAACCACCCAGAAAAAAAGAAGTCTGAACTTGTTGGACAATCAACATTCAGTGAGAGTGGTAATTATACAAAAATAGAAATCCCAGTCAGTTCTTCAATTTCAGAGATACTTTTGCAAAATACTGTACGATTTATTTCAAAATAGAATGATCTTGTAATATAATAATGAATTCAAATACTAAAAACAAGGTTCAAGAAAAATTCAAGAACATCAAAAAATATTTCAGTTAGAAAATGGACAGCTTTTTCTACCGTGTCTGATTGCACGGTCCGTAGTTACGTTGTATAGTACATTAAACAATTGTAATGACTGACAAACTCTATTAATTGAAACCGTTCTGTTAGTTTCATTAATAGTATAAAACCTGTTTTTCACCGTTCAGATGACAATCAAACACTCATCATCCTAGTACTTTTGTTTTTGTAACGCTTCATAGTATATGCCAACGAGATTTTCTGTTCAACTTTTAATACGACGGACAAACAGAATTTAGAATATACAAGTTTTACGGTGATTTTATTAATATTTTGACATTATCCTAAGAATAACTATTTAGTTTATAAGTTTGTTCCATGCATCTAATTACGCTTTAACATTAAGTATTTTAATAATAATCTTTTTCTCTCTAAATGCCAACATTGTAATGTAGTTCATATATTTTTTTCAATATGACATTTTTTCTTCTATTTCTCTTCTACTTGAAGAGAGTCTTGTAAAAACAAAAAAAAAAAAGTTTACAAATGTATAAAATAGAAAATTACATGTAAAAAAGAATAAGGTTAATTGAAGAGTCAGAAACAAGTTATTCCAGATTGTTTTAAAAATAATCTAGTTTTGACCAGATTACAGAGTTTAATAGATTTTGTTTAAAATTCCAAAAATAACTGATTGATCGACTTTTTTTTTCTTCTCTTCGAAACTTTTTTTATGCAGAATATTACAACCGATTTTATGTAGATTATGCGCACAATGAACATTACAAATTATAATATTACAAAATCCCTACTTGAACCAATATCAATTTATGAACGAACAATCATTTTGATTACGTATTATATTATTTTTGTGTTGGGTATCATAGGTATAAGAATATTTTCTAAAATTTTTAAAAACATGTTCTAGTAAACTTTTCTATTTAAAGGAAATTCTCTTGTATTATATGTTGCTATTCGTAATAAAAAATTTCGAAATGTTACAAATTGTTATATTACAAATTTAGCTATTACAGATCTTTTGTTTTTATTATTATCTATTCCATTAACAACATATTTAGGATTTCGAGATACATGGCCGTTTGGACAATTTTTATGTAAAATATATATCTATTTAGCACATGTAAGTAAGAAATATACATCTTAAACAATTTTAAAAATACTAAAATTAATATTATATATATATGTGTGTATATATAGGTGATTTTACAAGCAACATGTTTTACTTTGGCCGTAATGAGTATCGATCGTTATTTATATATTGTTCAGGTGAAAGCAAAATTAAAATGGCGAACAGTTAGAAACGCTTTTATTATCTGTCTTCTTATTTGGACAGGTAAGTTATTTTTTATTGTACCATTGTGGATTATATTGTCTATTCAGTTTTTCTAGCATCATTATTATTTATTATTCCCTTCGATAAACTGGCCCGAGCATCAGTTCAAAGAACTTCAAAACATTGTGGTGTCGATTCAGAACAATCAGTTATTAGTTGTCTTATTACTTTATGTTCTTATTATGCCATACCATTAGCGATTATAATTATTTGCTATTCGAAACTTTTATTGTATGTGATTGAAAATTCAAAATCGATGGCCGAAACTCAAACGGTAAGTCAAACAAAAGTGATGTCTATTGTAGATTATTCATTAGAGTTTTATTTTCTTCAACATCTATTCTATTTTATCAACTGTGCACTTTTGAAAAATATTGTAATTATTGTACTACATTCAACATATATATTCTTTCTTCTTGATAAGGATAGTTTATAAAAATTTATCTCAATAAAATATTCTATTCTTCAATATTTCATGCACCGATGTCGAATAATCGATAATCCATTATTCGATTTTTTTTGTTTCGATTAAAAATCAATGATCTATGAACAAGGAAAATTTCTAACTTCAATCTACTTGTTTGTTTATAGACATGTACCAAGACTTTTCAACACCTAAGATCTTGATACATGTCTAGAAACAAGCAAGTGGGATGAAGTAAGAAATTTTCTTTTTTCATAGATCATTGATTTTTAATCGAAATTGATGTATACCTAATCTACAATATATTTTCAGGCTGCCTTTCGTCAAGTAGTTCGTACAAAACAAAAACGTGTAACAAGAATGGTTGTTGTTGTAACACTAGCATTTGCCATTTGTTGGCTTCCAATACAGACACTAGAATTACTCAAATGTACAAGATCACCCTTACTATTAGTATTTATCCATTATCCAAAATTATTAAATCGAATTCGAATTATTTCTCATGCATTAGCCTATTTTAACTCATGTTTAAATCCATGTTTATACGCTTTATTGAATCGAAATTTTTGTGCAGATGTCGTTCGTTTGATACCAACATCATGTCAATGTACAAAGTCAGTATCAACAACTTCATGGAAACAACATAAACTGAGAAATGTTATTTTAAGTCCTGGACATGAACAACATGAAAGTTCAAAAAATGACAATGAAACTATTGGTGAAGAATTGATAAATTTAAAAGATTTACCTAGTGCTAGTTGTCATATAGAACAACCGAATGATACAGAGCGTGATGTTGATGTTAATAATTATTTATTAAATAAGATAAAATTGTCGAATAATAATTAGCAAAGAAAAAGAGTTGAAAACAAAAAAGAATGTTTTTGAGAAGCTGTTGGATAATGATAATGACAAATAAAGTCTGTGAATAATGTGATGTAAATGAAAAAGTCCGGTTGAAAAACAACAATATATAACATATTATCATTAGAATAGATTTAACTCCATCTGGAATATTATTTTTTGAATATTTTACTATAAAAATCATTAAAAATCATTCCGATCGTGTACAAATCATGGATGACTATACATTACTATAGACTATATAACGATTTAACTTGGTAATCGAATAATATTTTTAATACTTTTGTTATATCGTCCGATTCGCTCAAATACTGTTCAATATGTGGTCATTTTTTTTTTCTTTATTTATTTTTTTGTTGTCGTTAATTAATTAATTAAAAATTCTATGTTGTTTATCACAGTTGATTTTTATTTTAAAAGAATAAATTTTCGTCTATTTAGATAAACTAAAACGTCATATAGAAATATAAAATCATATAGTTATCATTGATCAATATTGGACATCATTATTTGGAAATAAAAAAAGAAACAACATGTACTAGTTTTAGCAAAACAAGAAAAATATTATTGAAAAATTATTTGTCAAATTAGTATGTCGAAATTAATTTTTCATTAAAAAAGAAACAAACTTGTATAAAATTATCCAGTATCGCAAGCAAAAAAAGAATTGAGAAATTTACAAACAAAAAACATTTTAGATTAAACGATTTGTCATTCATTAAAATGCATTAACGAAATCATAGATTAAATCGCAACATAAAAGATAACAATACAGACATAAATAGAAACAATTAGGAGAAGAAATACATAAATGGGACGAATGACGCACACAGATACATATAATGTTTTATATATGGTACATAAGAGAGAAAATAGAGGACAGATAGTTCGTTAACATCAGAAGTCTTCGTCATCATAATTCTCAAGTTTCTTTTTTTCAAGAATTTGGAAAGCTAGTAACTAAATCGTCATAAAACTCCGTCTTAAATTTCAGATAATATTGTGTTTTGGTTAGTTTTGGGTGGTGTTTAACAGTGTTGAAAAGATTTTTATTCTCTCATCACTCGCTAAATTCTTCGATAATTTGAGAATTTTTCATAACTTAGAATTATCACATCTCTTAGACAGCAAAAACACAAAAATATCAGTTGTTCTTTCGTTGTGTGAAGTTTTAATTTACTCATAATCTTGTGGATTTAATTCTACAAGACGACGATGAGGATTTCGAACTGAATATCGTAATGATACCAAATGACCAACTTCATCAATGGCTCGTAGTGCCTGAAAGAAAATAGATAAACATAAAATTATAGTAACGAGAGAACAGATGTAATAAGACTGTTTTTCCTTCACTTACATGATCTAACATCTCTCGAGTATGCGCGGCAGATATACAAAATCGAACACGTGATTCTGTTATAGACGTAGCTGGAAATCCCACGGTGACAACAGCACAACCACGCTTTAGCATTTCTCGATTTACAGCGCTAAAAACAACGATAAAAGAATTAAAGTAGATATATTTAGCCATGTGTATATCGATATTCACTCACGCAATTTTAGCTGGCATATAGATGAGAACAGGTACAACAGGACTATTATCATTTCCATAGACAATAAATCCCATATCAACAAGATGTCGTCGAAAATACTGTACATTTTTCGCTAGTTGTTGAATTCTCTTTTGTCCTTAAAAATAGATAAATTGAGCATGTTGAAGATAAAGGAGACAATCCTGGTGAAACTTCTAGTAATCAAGATCTTGATTTCTTGATTTTTTTCAGTAAAGTCTTGATTCAAGATCGTGATAAAAAAATGTAAGAATTCACGAAATTTCAAGAAATCAAGATCTTGAACATCTCGTAATTTCTTGACTTCTTGTATCAAGACCTTGATTAAGATCTTGAGTGATTAAAATCTTGTATGCAAGATGTTGAAAATTCTTGAATCATCGTTTTGTTTTACACTCTTGTATAAATATAAGTGTGAATATTTTCACACTTCGAATAACTTCGAAGTTTTTTTCTTCTTGAACATAGTTGTTTAAGGAAGAGCCTATGATTCTATAAGGTCGTATATCTGATGACTATGCCTGTCATAAACGAAAACAAAATGTAAAGAAAATTTTCTACTTAAGATCTTGAGTGGATTCGTTCAAGATCTGGAAATTTCTGTTTCCAAAATCTTGGCCAAGACCTTGAGTGAAAGATCCAGGAATCCAGGATGTTTACTTCTTGGTATTTTTTCCAAGATTCTGTGACATTTTTTAATCTAAGATCTTGAGTACAAGAAGTTTCACTAGAGAATCTGCAGATTTTTGCTTTAGAGATTTTGTTGATGATAAACTTTCATCGCCAGGAACTTACCATTATCAGTACCATCTATACCCATGACTATTTTTAATGATGAAATAATTTGATGTACAACCGGCGCACTCATACTTGCTGTATAACAATCGGCATGCGAATATGTACGTATGTGTTCAATTAATTTCTATTCAAACTATGCCATATAGACAACTATATTGATCAAACAATGAAATACTTACTTTTCGTCCAGCAATGTAACCACCAGCACTGCCAAAACTCTTTGTAAATGTCCCCATATGTATATCGATATCATCTGGCTTTGTATTCCAATAATCAACGACGCCTTTTCCATGTGAACCAATGGCACCAATCGAATGTGCCTCATCCATATACAAATAGGCTTTATATTTTTTTTTCAGTGCAATAATTTCTGGTAATCGACATATAGAGCCTTCCATGGAATAAACACCTTCAACAACAATTATTATCTTTCGCCATGGGCGATGATGGCGAGGTTGTCCATTTACAATAGATTCTCGTAATATTCGTTCCAAATCTTTCATATCTACAATTAATTCTTACACATTGATTTCTAAAGAACAACTTGCTCTACTATTGCATACCGTTATGTTTAAATGTTTGTGTTGTAGCACCCGATAAACGTATTCCGAGAATTAATGATGTGTGATTAAGACCATCACTGATTATTAAATCACCCTGTAAAAAGAAAAGTAATGTATTAAAATAAACGTACTGCACATTCTTCGCATTTTACTTTTCGAGCAATAGCAGGAATGTTTAGTGCATTTGTGGCAAAGCCCATACCTATAAAACAAATGAATTATAGAAACGAGACGAGACAGTATATAGAAGTAAGATGACATACCAAATGCAATTGCATCTTCGACACCAAGATATTGAGTTAATAAACTTTCAAGTTCTTGGTGAAAACGTTGTGTTCCTTAGATAAGAATGAAATTGTTTATTTGACTCTTGCCAATCACTACTTTAATAAATACCTAATTCCTGTCGGCTAGCACAGTTAGCCACACCATAGTTTTTAATCGACTCTATTGCAGCTTGTGCACATGGTCCACGATTTTCCGAAAAACCCAAATAATTGTATGAACCCAAATTAATTGCATGGAGCTTTTTACCAGTAAATCTAAACTATGAGATAAACACATTCACAATAGAGCCATAATATTCAATACTGAACTTAAGTGTATCCCCCCCCCCCCTCTTTTTTGTAGAAAAGTTCCATTTTGTGCGAAACATTGTTTAATATAGAGGAAAGTCTGGGCTGTAAAATGAGATCACTCCCAGCTTTTTCTTCTTTGCAAAAGTTATGAAGTTTTTCCTTCAAAGTCTCAAAAATCTCAATTTTTTAGGTTCGTAAATTTTTCTCTCCATTCCTATACATGCAAAATTTTTTCTTATACTTTGCACGATAGAAGGAAGTATGTTCTTCAAAATGAGACATCTAGAATCTTCCGATGAGTTTTCATGGACATATAAGCATCACCGCAAATGCCATAAAAGAACAGAGCATGTAGAATGTGTTTTTTCGATAGTCCTTCAATCGTATCAAACACTAGTCCGATCGAGCTCAAACTTTTACTCCAGATACTTTAGATCCTATCTCAGGATGCTAATTTTTCTTAAGCATTTTCGATTTCAACTTTCGGCATTAGAAGGTTTTTAAAATAAAAAAAACAGTTATTTTTTTAGTATTTTTCGAATATCTCGAGAAGGAAAGAATATATTTCGAAAAGAAAATTGACATCCTGAGATGAAGTATCTGTGGTAAAATTTTGAGCTCGATCGGACCAATTTTTCAAGGGGTCGTAATGTGACCCGATGAAAACTGGAGTTTTCTAGAAAATCCATATAAGAGCACGTCAAAAAATTCTGAGAAAAAATACATTGATTTTCTTTTTCGATGTTCTATTTCCTATATAAATTTCGCCTCGATCCGACATCGGCTTCCTCAATTTTCAAGAGGGTCAAAGAAGTGGGGAGGGGGTACCTTTAAAACGGACGGTAGAAATTCAATAGTATTTTACCTAAACGACCAATTATAATCATCAGATAAACGTTCAATAACATCGACTTCTGCAGCTGCCACACTTCCAATTGGTCGGTTAAATACATCTCGAATTCTTGTATACATATTTCGTGTATAAAAACATTCATAACTTTGGTATAGTGGAACAAAGTCTTCTGGATTTGGATCTTTGGCACCTTTTTTCTTTTCTAAGCCAATATGTCGAAGAAAATCTCGAAACCAGCCTAATATATTCAACACAAAATAGCCCAAAACGGTTATAACAGCAACTAAACGAGGTATTTGTTCAAACTCTTCATGATCGCGAGTAAAATTGTTCGTCATTGTCTAAAAAACTAACGTAGTAAGAAATCTGGGTCTAATCACTCAATTCTTTCACTTAGATAAATTTGTTAGCAATACTGCATTTTTCATTCTCATTTACTTCTATAATTTTATAGTAAAAAGGATGATTACGTACCGATGATAATTTTATTAGAGAATTTGTTTTTCTGCTTGAATTCTTTTCTATTTCCGAGGTTATTCTGGAATCCACCTTTTGATGTTTATCCATTTTTTTCTATATCTTTTTTAAATGAAAATTATTCTTTATTCTGCAAAACAGAAAAACAGCAGCAAATAAATTATGAGTTATAAATACATATATAGACTATCACACGCATACTATACACTCACAGAGAGAGAAAGAGAATACTGTCTCTTTTATTGCTGTTATACGTCGATGCTGGTGGAAGCTGTTTGCATAATGATGACGACGATTTTTGAAGTATATTTACAGAATAATAAAAGTAGAGAACAGCAACTACCACATAGCAACAAACAATCACTCTCTCCTCCTTTGTTAAAAATATAAATTTTTTAAACGTTTTATTAGTCCGACTATTCATGACAAACAGGTGTTTTTTTTTCTCCTTTCTTCACCTAACGTAACGTCAATCTTTTGTCATATAAAACTAATTTATAGATGAACAAAAAAAAGGGTGAAATTTATGTTTCAGAAATAGAAGAAAGTCATTATAGTTCTTCTGTGCTTGCTACAAGTGTCTGATACTCACGTGCAACTATATACTGTTAAATAATCGACAAAATCAAATCTCATATAGTTATAACTATGATAGAACGCATAATAGATACTTAAATAAAAGTACAAAATAAAATATTAGCAGTTAGCTGTTTCTTTTTCAATAGAAGAGATTCTGTGCTGTTGCATACAGAATCGAATAGACAAAGGTTGACCTATTTTTGAAGAGCAAAATACATAGAACAGTACCAATAGATGTGGACAAAATAGAGAACTTGAACGAGATAAGTAAACATCAAACGAAAATATACTCGTTTTGCTATATTAACCGTGATATTGAAAGGTCATCCCAAAAAATTAAATATTTTAAAATAATGTTTTACATATTTTTTTATAGCAACTAAAAATGGTATTTATCATCTTGTTTTCTTAGACTTTGACCGTCAGTTAAAGGAAAGTACCCATTAGTTGGACAGACGGATTTTGCAGATGTAAATGAAACTGCAGTCACAGCTCAATAAGCATTGAAAAAATATTTTCCAATATTATTGCTTACCATTTCTTTAGAATTGACATAGTCGTTTTTTTTCAGATTTGACAGAAAAGTCAACTGACTAAAAAATTTTCACAATTTACAATAGTCAGATACAAATTATCAGCTAATTATCTTCTGATAATTATTTATTAATAAAATATGAGTTAGAGTTTATAAATATTTTTATTTTAAATATATTTGATCTCTTGATATGAAAAATTATCTTTTAGAATCTATGCTTAATTAACAAGAAAGTGTATAAAGATACTAAAGAGTGTGAAGTTATTAGAAACATTTAGATCATAAACGTAAACTGAGCTCATAATAACAGGGTTCTCTTTTGATGAAAAATAAAAAGTGTACTCATAACGTCATATGGATAGAAACAGATAAACGAGAAAAAAATAAATCTAAAAATAAATGCTGTACAGAAAGAATAAGAAGTAATCATAGAAGAAAAATATATAATTTGATCCCCTTAAACCAAGTGTGCCTTACACACGTACGACACATAACTCGTCCGGATTTTAAATAAAACTTTCCTTTCTTCCCTTTTTTCGGTAGTCATTTCGTTCATACTTTTCCTCTTTCCTTTGTATCATATTCGTTAGTTACCTTTTTTTCTTTTTTCTCTCTTTTGATTCGGGTAGCAACCAAGCATGTATCGATATTTATCGGTATATTTTCTTCTTTTTCTGCATCACATTAACCGAAAATTATAAGTTATCAAAATTTTTTTATGATTCGACCTTGTGCAACAAACATTTCTCTGCAAAATGACGTATAATCGCACCTTCCATTTTGAGTCAATAATACTCAGATAGAAAATGTTTGTCAAAAGTTCCACGATCCATACCGGTTAAGGGTAACCCCCCCTCCCCGCTCTTTTTTTGAGGAAATTTCGGATTTTGAGCTGAGCATAGCCTAAAGGAGAGGAAAGTGTGGGCTACAAAATGAGACCACCCCCAGCCCTTCACGAGTTTTTCTTTCAAAGCCTAAAACTAAATATTTTAGTTTCATAAATTTTTCTCTTCTTTTCCGTACATTCAAAATTTTTCTTACACATAGTCTGACAGAAGAATGTGTTTTCTTCACAATGAACTGTTTTCTATAATTTTCTGTTGAGTTTTCGTGGCGATATAAGCATCGCGGCAAATGCTCTGAAAAAAGTGGTCTATGTACAAAATGCGTTTTTTCTCGAAAACTATTTGTTTGCTACCAGCCTACATTGTGCCACATTACGACCCCCCTTAAATTTCACCTGATCGAGTTCAAAATTTTACCAGAGGTACTCAAGGTCATAGCTCAGAGGTATAATTTTGGAATTTTATTTTAGACCTTTCTTTACCGAGTTACAGGATGCAATGTGCAACTTTTAGTTTTTATTCCACAGCATTTCTACGGAAAGCCCAAAAAGAGGGGAGGGGTACCCTTAATACTGGTTAATACCGGTTTCGGGCAATTCGTCGAGAAGCGAGTTAGTTTCCACTCTTTCTTCATATAAATCTTATGAATTGAATACTCCTAGAGGGAATCATTATTATTTAGGAAATCATTTTCTTTTCAATTTATATAATTTCTTAAATTCTGAGAATTTTTCGACTGTGTCGCATGCAAATAAAATAATTAATTATACTGTAGATTATGATTACTCTAATAAATAATAAGCATTACATAGAATTTCAGATTATCATAAAATTTCTTTTTAGTAATTATATATCAACTTTTGCGCGTATATGTGAGATTTCAATGTACTTGAGCACCTTTTGACTTAGAATAGTGTTTAAATTAGTTTCTGAAAATTTATAGAGATTCTTTTTGGAAAACCGACCACCTTTTGAAGAAACTGAAATGCTTGTTTTTCGAAGGAAGATCTGTTCATTTATTGAGAGATTTGTTCTGCTATTTCTTTTATAGCAGAAAAAGCTGATAACATCTTTTGTAGTTATCTTCA